AGGGGAGGGGAGGGGAGGCATGCCATAGCTGCTGTTTGATTCTGCAATTTCTATGAAACTTCTTTAAATGTTCTTTTTGAAGTTTTCTTTTTCATTCATAATTTTGTTTATGGACAAAAGCATGCAATTAATGCTAGCACTCTTCAGTATCTATTCAAACAAAGCCTGAGCACTTTAACTGTACAACGTTTACCTAAATAACTGTGAGCAGGTTTTTCTTCCACAACTTTGATTCTCCTTGCTCCTGCAGGTATCACCAAAGCTTCCACATAACCTGGGAAGGAGACCAAATGTCCCAAGTTAAATACAAAAATACAGAAAAGTACCTCTAGCATTTTTTTTAATTCATTCTCCTCTGTTTTGCTTTTTAAATACAATGTTATACTCTATATGACAATGGTTTGAAGAACCTTGCAAATGATGTCAGTTACTAGCTTTGAAATAACCTCTGTAACTGTGCTATGTGTAATATATACACCATGATATATGATTAACAGAGCAAAGTAAAACATAACAAGAGTTAATGGGGCTAGAGAATACACAGACGAAGCTGTCTACAGCCAAGCACAGTTTTCTGTCATTACACCACCAGATAACTACAAGAGAATGCCAATTTCTCTCAGCATGAAGAGCTAAGTGACACAATGCTAAAAAACAAACAGCCCTCTCTTGTCTTTATTTATTTATTTAGTTACTTAGTTATGGATAATGGAGGAGGAGTAAATGTTTTGTATGCCAGTTCTGTTGCTTTAAGACATACAAACCCCATTCTCAATGGCTTGAGCTTTGTAGTATACTCATCACTTATTTGGACTGCATTAAAACTGCTTTCATGAACTGTGGAATTAAGAAATTTCAGTTGAGTAATTTGTTTTAAGAAGGGGTCAGAAGGCAAAGCAGGTGAAAAATTACATGCAGCCAGGAATGTTTATTAATGAAATCAAATTTCAAATTGTCTGAGTAGACTTCAAAAATAGATAGCAAAATAAAGTTTTATCCTGTGTAATTACATAATGCTGTATTACAAATGATGAATATAACACCTTGTCTGTAAATCCTGATTTTAATATCGTATAATTTCCAGGCAGCATTATTTATCTTTAGTTTCCTTAAGAGATAATAATATTTTCTATGCCCTGCTGGCATCCAGCTTCTGGAGAACAACCAGCAGCTGTATTTAGATGGCAGTGCCACAACAGTATATACTTGCACAAAACCTTGAATAAAACCTGGGAAATGTTCATATATTTGCTTCAGCTATAAAAGAAAGCTTAAACATTGTAATTCATATTAACAGATACCTTCTCTGTAGTTTTTGGTCTGTAGTTGACATCTATTTTCTGTGCTTGTCTTGCTTATCTGTGGTTTAGGACTCTTACTCTACATTACTGCTAGCCTGAGTGAAGGCTGAACTGGAGCATCTGAAGGCTAGGTCTCACTTTTTTTTTTCAACCTTTTTTAAGATGCTGTATTTTAGCTAAAATGCGCTGAGGTCCATTGCAATACTTTGTCATAAGTGATGTACTTACAACCCTGAAATTCTATAAATTTTCTAAGCGAGAGACTAAAAGTGTAGTGGCAAACAAATGTTGAAAAAAAAAAGTTCCTTTGAAGAAGTGACTCTTCTTGGCGAAAAGATATACTAGCCACATGGTGAATATTATCAGGATCTAAGCCTCTACTCTGTCAACACTATTTACTGGGGTCAGTCAGTTCAACTCAACTGAAGAACAAATTGCAGAACTCTGAAAATCTACCCTTCATTTTGGATCAGTAAATCTATAAATTAAAAATATGTAAGATTGTTTCTTGAGACATTTGGTTTTATGGTCACCAATTGCCTATTTGCTTAATGACATTTCTGTAGTTAACAGATCTTAATTTAAATATTTTCTTTGAAGAACACAAAATGAATGTAAACATTCTAAAAATATATAGCTTACTCAAAATATAAATTTCATTTCTTAAACTTATTAAAATCCATTTCAAGACACAATGTGCTTCCTACTGGAAGATAAATTCCTTAACTTAAGAAATCTAATGAAGATAATGTGATTTCAAAATATTTACCTTAAAAGTATTCATACATCTTATCTAAAATATTGAATATATTAGCAGGATAGAGACGATTTTTAAAATTTTCCTCTGCAGCTCTAAAATTGCTATGAGGCAGTGCATCATTTAAGAAAGCACAGTAGTTTGTAGTTTGACAAAGTAGTCAAAACATCTAACACCGTTCCATATATTTGAAATAAACAATTACCTGCTCCTCTGGTATGGTTAAAATCTCCTTTAATAACTTTGCATGACTTTCCATTACCATTGCACACACCACAATGATCTTCACGAGCCAGAGATCCTAATATGCCATCACAGCCAAATTTCTGTGAGAGAAGAAAATAAGGCTTTGAGAAAATAAAAGGTCCTTCTACTCAGAGACAGGAGCATATTAGACTTTAAATCTTTGTACTCAAATTACAGTACATTATTTGCCAACCCCATAAGGGTAAAGTGCCAATTGATGTCAAGCCAGTTATGCATCTCATGTCTTATTTTGACTAGAATGCAAACATGTCAAGAACATGTAAATACAAACTGCTTTTGTGCTTTATGATAAGCTAGCAGTATTTGATAAAATAAAAAACATTTACACAAGCACCCTCTAATTACCATGATAGGTGTATTTCTATTATCAAAATCATCACTAGCTTGACAATAGAAACATATACCATTAATACTATATATTCGTCTCATATAAAATAAAAACATTATATAGTCTAGAAGAGTCATCACAATGTAATCTTGTGCTCTGTACAAATGCATCTGATGAAACCAATAAAACTTCAACTCCATTTGCTGAAGACAAGCCCAGGTTAGTGAGGAAATAAGGGATTCCAGTGAGAACACAGAAATTATGATCTACTGGGCATTTATTCATGTCCAAGCACAAGGAAACTGTTACTTCATGTTACACATGTCATTTTTATCATTGTTTCTAGAATTAAAATAATAAAAAGAAGAAAGCAATATAGATTTTAAAATAGATATTATGCTAAAAGCATATAAGGGGCTAAATACGCAGAACAGTAAATCTAAAAAATTTACATGTGTAATTCTGAAGCTATAATTCCCTAAGTACTTGCTCATCTTGTGTCTAGAAGCATAGGCTAAAATATTAAATATTCTATAAATTAGATTTAAGTTTGATAATCATCTCGATGAATCTCTATACATCTTGACATGTCAAGAACACAACTGGTTCTTAATCAAGGAGGTCTGGTTTATCGTTTTTGCTCCGTTTTGTCATTATTAGCCAGTATTCACAGAGGCAAATGTGAAGAATGGATGATAAACAAAAGATTTTTTTCAGGAAAAATCAGGTATATACTTTTGGGATTAAGACTGCATATGTTAACTTGACAAGAAAAAGTCCCAAGGGTATACTTGTTGCATGCACTCAGACACTTGAGAAATGCCCATATGCACATATACATGCCCACATATATGGATAGGTTAATTTGTTAAAGTTATTATAGTATAAGAGAAATTGTAACAAAAAAAATTTGGATATTTCATATGGAAGAGTTTCCATATGAAGCACATGAAGCAGTAAGAGAACTACGAATCCCTTGATCCTGGTTTATTTAGACATACACACATAAGTATATATATTTAAATAAATATACATAAATATATGTATTTAATATATATTAAATATAAAGGCATAATTAAATGTGTATATTTATAATAAATATTTAATTCTGACTTTTTTGCCTGTACAAAATTGTATGTTTAAAAAATCATGTGCACTGCGAGAATGAACTTATATTATTTCTGTAAAAGAAGAGACATTTAGTCTTGGTTATGCCTTTTGCAACATTCTGTTAAGGAAGTAATGCCTATGCGTAACAAATTTATACTCATGCATTTGTGTGCAGGTTCCCCAGCTCTGAAATAGGAATTCATACCTGGCATCTACCATTTGCACAGATATCTAACCCATGTTGGCCACAGGAAGTTCCATCCACGACCTTTTCTGTTAGGAGAATGGGTTGATCCTTTCCAGTTAGAGAACAGAATAAGGCGCATGGCTTTTCTGTAATAGTGATTGATGCAAGAAAGACCAAATTAATATAAAAATCACTTTTAATATATGCAAAATTAACACCAAAAGGATTTTTAAAACTGATGCCTGCTTATCTGTGTGGCATGGATCTTTGTTATCATAACAAGTTATTTTAGGAAAATCAAACAAGATAAAAGGCTTTGATCTTTCTCTCTAGTTTGAAAAACTGAAGTTCTGTTTCCTGCTAAAATGCATTTCTGCTATAAACTTGAGCCTACATAATACTCATGTCATGTTCATTGCTACAATTAAGAATATGCACATTACAGCTGTTGGAATATTTTGGTTGTAATCTATACTTACTTTCTACTATAATTTTGGCAGATCGTAAATACTGGTTAAAAAATAAACTTAACACTTTCCAGATTTTCTAACTATATAGGTCAAAGAGAAAAAAAAATAAGTGAAACATCCTGAGAAGAAAAATATACGGCTTTACAAAGTCCACATAAATAAATAAATAAACATAAAAAAATGAATACATATTTCTAACATTAGGAAGGTCAAGCAATTTTCTATTGCATTTTCTTTTGCATTTCTGAAACATTCTGCAAATCACTGAAGAATAAAAAAAAGAACAGAGTATAAAATAATCATATCAAAATTCTGTTTTCTGGATCCCTAATAGTCCTCTTTTATATATAATGGCATTTGCTGAGGTAATTACAAATGAATTACAAGAGGTCTCCTCTCAAGAGTCAACCTACATTTACTTTTTTTTCATATCTTTATTTATTCACATACTAGCTCAGAACCTCTTCCTAAAGCTTTTGTAGATTTTGAAAGTAAAACGGCAATTCTGAATTTAAAATTGATTTCCTTGGGACACAGTCTATGCCACTCTGACTTCATACTGACTTCTAGATAGATTCCTGGAGAGTATTTTATTAGTAAATTAAACAGTTCCAGGAAACAGTTATGGTCCCTGGAAGTCTACTGCCTACACAGTTAAACGGTAGACCAGTCTGTGCCACATTTTTGGCTTGCGCCAACTAGCATTAGCTGCGTCTGGAAATCACCACCTGCAGGGGACCATTTCCAAAATGCGTTTTGGATGTCACCACCCATTTTCAGAGCGCAAAAGAGCTGAAAAATATGGACATGAGTCTTGTGTGCCAGGTGACTTAGGCATCAGATACTGGTTTATGCATATTTAGTTTGCTAAAATTGATACAGGCTCTGGGCATCTCTAGAGCACAGGAGCAAAAGGATATCACCTCCTCTGCCAACATGTGAAGCCAGTCAGACACAAGCCATCACAGATGTGTGAGACTCTGCCTGAGTTTTTGCCCTTTACATTCCTGTTATACTGCTTAAAAATAACTGCAAAGTCATGTAGAAATTAATTTCAAGAACAGAATGCATCAGCATTTTATAAAGGAATGCCCTATCAAAACTTTGAACCTAAACATTATTTTAGGAAGACTAACCTCAAAAAGATAGGAGCCCAACAACACTGAACAACTTTTTTAAGTGCATGGGAGTTATAACACTCAGAATATTTGCAATTAAAGAGGTTAGGTTACCCACTGTTGTTTTTACGCTATAGCACTTGTGGCTCTCAGACTGTTAAATGCAACTGATGCTATCTCAAGATTCACACACACACACACAAAACTTAAAAGATAACCAGTTTTGACTCTTCTGTACTTCTTCATTAGGTATTTAGCCCTTCTTCAGCATAAATTAAATACTTTAATTGCTACAATATTATTTTGGAAAAGGCAATGTTAACAAGACAAGCAAAGCATGTCATTGACTACTGTTTCCCAAAAGCCCAATCCTATTTAGGTCACTCCAAAAATGATGTAATATCATAATTTTATATTATGCTCATTTTTCAAATATCAATTATGTATCATGACGCATGCAGAGACAACTGCAGCCCTTGGGCTTGGTAGTAATGGAATATAGGAGACCTCATTCAAATATGAGCATTTTGTACTCCCTGCATTTGAACCTAGTAGGGTCTAACAAAGACTAAGAGGATTTAGGACCAATGTGATTCCATATTCCTGGAATTCTAACTGGGGTCCAGTGTTGAATCTCCTGCAGTACACCTTAAAACAACAAAATTTTTCAGAACAAAATTACCATCCACACTCCTTAAGGCAGGATTGGAGCATGTCAGAGATTTCTCAGTAGATAACAGAGGTATACAAATATGGGCTTTTCATCCATAGGATATGAATCATGCATTTTGTGCTAAATCACAAATTAGTAAAAGAAAAATCAAACTGACTCACTAGGTATGCACCTATGAGATCTGGAGGGCATTCTCTTTCCTCCGAATGCCAGCTAACAAATGACAGGTAACAAACTACCTAAAACAGGTTGATAAGTTTTCACTTAATACAGAAAAATATCACTTTTTAACTAGACAGAAGAAGTTTCTGATTACACATTCACATCTTTCAGGACTCAGTAAAACAAACTGCTCTCTTAAAATTTATGCTTCAGAATGGTTGCTGATAATTTCTCTCTTGCTTGAAATATAATGGCAATAATAAACTACAAACTCACATCTTAAAATATGGTAACACATACTTACAGTACTCCAGAGTTACTCTAGGCATTTCTTTATTACCAGTTGCTAATATTTTTAAACTGTTTTTATAACTTAAGTTTTCATAATTTGTTTCATAATACACAGTGCACACGGATTTTTGCAAAAAGCCAGTGCTTGGTTTTTGAAAAATCTAACTGTTAAACTTCTTCACCTTCTTCAAAAATAAATGTCCACTATAATATCCGTATTGTCTTTCTGGCTTTGCAGGTGTAAGTATAATAGCTAGATGCATATTTAAAGACATAGAATTCCTCTAGAAAGCTGCATTCATAGAATCATACAATCATAGAATCATTATGGTTGGAAAGGACCTTCAAGATCACTGAGTCCAACTGTAAAACCACCACCACCATGCCCTCTACACCATGTCCGTAAGTGCCTCATGTACACGTGTCTTGAATACAGACAGTGATGGTGATTCCACCACTTCCTTGGGCAGCCTGTTCCAATGCTTGACCACTCTTACTGTGCAGAAATTTTTCCTAATATCTAACCTGAACATCACGAGTGACTTCATACTACTTTTCTTTTTATATAAGACAAAACTGAATGAATTTTCATTCAAATGTAGTCATTACATTGGGATAGATGAGTGGATAGCAAAGTAGATTAGGAACTGGCTGGATGGCAGAGCTCAGAGGGTGGTGATCAGTGGCGCAAAGCCTAGCTGGAGGCTTGTGGTTAGCGGTGTCCTCCAGGGGTCAGTCCTTGGTCCAGTCCTGTTCAATTTATTCATCAGTGACCGGGATGAAGGCACAGAGTGCTCCCTCGACAAGTTTGCTGATGATACCAAACTGGGAGGAGTAGCTGATACCCCAGAGGGCTGCGCTGCCATCCAGAGGGACCTGGACAGACTGGACAACTGGGTGGTGAAAAACCTCATGCAATTCAACAAGGCCAAGTGCAAGGTCCTGCACCTGGGGAGGAATAACCCCAGACACCAGTACAGGCTGGGGACCGACCTTCTGGAGAGCAGCTCTGCGGAGAAAGACCTGGGTGTCATGGTGGACAGCCCTGGTGAGGCCACATCTGGAGTATTGTGTCCAGTTCTGGGCTCCACAGTACTGGAGAGAGTCCAGTGCAGGGCTACGAGGATGATCAGGGGCCTGGAACATCTGCCCTATGAGGAGAGGCTGAGGGAGCTGGGCCTGTTCAGCCTGGAGAAGAGAAGGCTGAGAGGGGATCTAATCAGTATATAAAAGTACCTCAAGGGAGGCAGTGAGGAGGATGGTGCTGGCCTCTTTTCAGTGCTGGCCACTGACAGAACTAGAGGAAATGGCCAGAAACTAAAGCATCAAAAGTTCCACAGGAACTTGAGGAAAAATTTCCTAACAGTGAGGGTGACAGAGCACTGGAACAGGTTGCCCAGAGAGGTTGTGGAGTCTCCTTCTCTGGAGATCTTCAAAACCTGCTTGGACGCAGTCCTGTGCCACACGCACAAGTGTTCCTGCATATGCAGGGGTGTTGGACTAGACAACCCTCCCAAACTTAAGCATTCTATGAATCTATATATGAAGAAGGATAAATCCAATAGCAATATGAGGCAGTAATTGTCAGAGTATGCAAAAATACCACCAGACTTTGGTAATAAAATAAAAATAACTCATTAAAAATCTTGGTCCCTTTTTTTCCCCCTAATCTTTCACCAGGTATTTCTTAATCAACGGCAATATCAGCTTGCTAAAACACATCGTCGAGGTAACTATGTGGCGGATGGCTTATACTCACCATCATCAATGACAGCCTGCCATTGTTGTATGTGCTTCTGATAAGAAGATCTGACACTGAAAGCCTGGCACTGCCAGTCCCTGAAGGCAGGCGTGCCAGCAGGACAAGAAGGGTTTTCACAGATTCTGTACTGCAGCATGGGACCATGACACTCTGCTTCAAGGCCTGGACTAGAAAAGACAGCATAAATACCATGCTTGTTTGTTGGCCACATTTTGTCAAACTTAGAGCATAGTTCATTCATTCTATATACAAAGACAATTTAAATATACAAACTTTTGTTGAAATGTAGTATTAAGACATTGCCTTCAAGAAAATCTAATTCAGAAAACAAAACATGCTTGCCTTCTGCTTGGACCAGTCACATTACATGTGAAGAGTCGCAGATGCCAAAATGTACACTTGGCTCCAAAGAAGCCCTAGGCTTAGCAGCAGCCTAGGAGTGTGCAGTAAAGAGAACTTCAACCATGTTACTGATAAAGCTCAGGTAATTTTCCTTCTAGCCTGACTGAGTCAAAGGTGTCAGTGGAGGGCCACTTCCATTAATTTACATTTGCTGCCTCCTTTCCAGGTGTGGTGTTACAGAGAATATGCAGTGGTGTCTGTGAGTGCTAATGAACAAAAGCAAAAGAAAAGCAGATGCAGAAGCTGGAGCTGATTATGAGGATCTTGCTTGAAGAAATTAATGAAAGCAAAATTAAGACAGCATTAACTTCAGGAATTAGCTTTCAGGCATGCCTCTGGAAGTGAAATTTAGATGGGAGGGAGTGTGAAAGCAGTGTGCATCTCTGGAAGATACTTTTATGTTAGAATATGTTACTTTTCTCTAGCTATATCTATGTTTTCCTCACATTTCCTTACACGAATTTGTCCCTTTTTTACCTTTGCCTTCCTTTTCCATTTCTTTTGCCCCCAAACTGTTATATTATCTTTCACCTTTTTTCATTCTATTATTTTCTAAAACCATCTATATTACTGTGTTCCCTCTTCTCTTTCTGTTTTTCCTTCTTTTCTCTTTGTGTTAGTGAAAGAGAAACGGGATGCTGAGTAATTAAAAGAAAATTATCTTCTCTCTGACTAATGAGATACCTACAGCGAAATACTGGCTCTACACAAGTCATTGGTAAAAACTCCCTCTACCCTGAAGGCATAGAATTTTCAATCACACAAGATAAGAGTTTTATAAATTTTGTTTCCAGATATGCCATACCTAAACGCCTTCAGAATTGCTAGAAAGATCTCTTTTAAAAGATTTTAATCTCGTGAGTATCCAATGAGAAATAAGATTTTTTTTCAGCAAAGGAAAACAGCAAAGGTAACCTGAACTTGTTTTTACCCAGGGCATTTGCGCTGTCGACTGCTGACTCCAGTGTTGCAAGTTCGGCTGCAAGTACTCCACGCGCTCCACTCCCCCTCCATGTGCTCCGCAAAAGAGGTCCGATTGATACACTCGCCAGCCTTACACCACTAGGTCAAAATTCATCTCTCAGGTAAGTAAATCAAGGTACATAACAAACAAATCACTGCTTTACAAACACACAGGAAACCCAACCAAAGCATTTTGTTGAATGCCAAGTCCTCAGCTGAGTCAGGAATCTACATTCCCCTTGATCCCAATAGTTAACTTTTCTAGACCAGTAAATGTAAGAGCCAGAGACCCTTCTCTGGCTTTGTGGTCATGTATTAGGTGCAACTCTTGTCTACAGGCTTGAGCCCAAGTTCATTCTCAGCACAGCTACTGGAACAGACTGCTGCAAATAGTCTCTAGACCAGAACATCTTGGTCTGGTCTTGAGGCTTCAAGACCTTTTACTTGAGGTGGAGATTGCCTAGGAAAGTACCCCCGGGTTCTACCCAGACCCGTTGCAGGGATCAATCACCTGATAATCACTACACAGCATTAAGGGCTGTTTCCTGAGCTTGTCTGATTTCCTAGGCTATCATGACCACTGTTATAATATAAAATTATGTTACAAGTTATAGAGAAAATGAGGCTTTATTCACAATTTGTATTCAAAAACTAGAGGATGATAGCCCAAGTAAGCTACCATCAGTGGAAGTTTTGGCATTTATTTATAAAAGGACAGATTAGTTGCTTTATAATCTTATATGTATACATCATTTACTGAAGAAACTACTGCTATTTCTCATGTAAAAATTATCCATTTGAAATTGTCATATTCTGTAACCTGGTATACATCATCATAATTCTATAGAATAGTAGCATTTTATTAACTTAGAGTAAGTGAAAAGTTGTACCATGAATTTCAGAATTTTTAACAATTGCAGAGCAATAAGGCTAAAAAGACAATGAACAAATAATTTCATTGACATCATAACTTTAACACATTTCTCTTACCACTTTATCTATTAATGATAGTAATTCAAGTGCTTGAAGAAACCTTATACCTCAAGCAAACCAAACCATGCCAATAATGCAGTCAATAGAGATCTCTGTAATTCTTTATAATAAATACACTTCTACTATTTGCAGTGCCTGTGCCAAGTTCTTGTCTGGTGTTCTTAAATTCCACTTGCAGTTTCAAACTGGTCTTCACTTCAATCTTCATTTTTATTTTTTGCCTTAAATATTGCACTACGATGATGGCGTAATTATACCACCTTTGAAAAGTCTTCATATTGCACAGCTGCGTTATTATACTTGATATCACAAAGTACTGATTTTTGTAATATTTTGGATGCTTCAAACTGAAAATGATTGTATTTATATAAAGATATTTTCTACAGATATAGTGCCTAAAATGTGTTTTTGCTATTTTTTTTTTCTCAGAGAGAGGACAAAGAAGCTGAGAGTTGCTAACAAATCTCTGATGCACAAAATACCTAAACTGGATTGAGCTGATCAACTGAAACTTCCTCCTTTAAGATCCTAAAAGCTGAAGAGAAGACAACAATACTCTGTCTCTGCAATCTAAAGCAAAGCAAAGCAAGCAAGTTGTGATATCTGAGGTTCATCTTTTACAAAGTAAGAGGAGTCTTTTCTATTCTGCTGAGATGTTTTAGTGATGTCTGCTTAGTATTTTACTGCTAGATAAAAAACTCCTCGTAGCCTGGCACAATCATTAGCACTCACTGGCCATTAGAATCAATACTTCTTATCCTCATTGCCCTCATGTGAGCCTTTTACATTATTTACTGCAATAATCTATACAAAAAGAAAAGAATGTTACCTTCCTCGTGGACTCCAGGAGCCATATCACTACCATATATCATCATGCTCCCACAAGCATCATCATAACTTTCAAGAATGAGTCCTACTCAATAAGTTTTTATTCTACCACACTTTGCAAGTGAGTTAATGAGGCACAGACATTTATGTGAAAAATACACACTAATCTTGGTACTTATTTGAAGATGGCTATGGTTTTACAATGGAAAATAGTAGCTGGTCTTAGCAGGAGGTGTTGCTTCCTATTCCCTACCACAGGCATTCCAGGATCACCATATGGAAAGAAACATCGAACAACAGACAGATCACAATCATTAGATTACAGCAAATTACATTATTTTAGACATATGAAAATGAGCAAAATCCCTTTTGGGTATGTGAAATAATACTACCCCCAAAATTAATTTTAATCTATTTGCAGATTTATTTGCCTTTTTTTTAACAGATGAAGACAGTTCCTGGGGAATGTAGAATGATTCACTGAACAAATTAATCTTATGAGAAAATGTTGTCATTATGAAAATCTCAAGGATGTTCCAGCTCTGTTGTCTTTTTATTTGAATGCATTTACTTTCATTTACAGTTACACACATGGAAGGGATTATTCCAACATGAAAGCTGTTAAAGAACATTTAACTGACTTGAGTCAACCATTCAGTTTCCTTGATGGTATATTTTTAAGGATGTTTAATACCCTTTAAGGTGTGCTGATACTGTTTATATGCTAACCCTAAAAAGTTGTGTCATAAATCTCTGTTGATTTTTCCATGAGACTATTTCTACTATATTTAAATCAGAACAGAGATCTTTATATCCTTGCAAACTTACTTTTCTGTTTACAATAAGCAATGCAACGACGGCATTCCATTCATAAAATAGTACCAAAAACTTGAATGAGTTTAAAATAAAACAGTATAAGCACCAAAACATCTGTGGTCTTGGCAAATTTAGAAGAATTTCAGTATTTGGAGGGAAATATACTCTTTTTCATATCACACACACTCACATCTACATATAAACTGTGTTATTTCAATGATAATCAAAGTAAGAAATAACTGTAAAAAATGCAAAGATCTGTTCAGGAAAACCAGTAACATACCTTTCCAGCGTTACAATCTGTTCCATCCATTGGCGGATCCAGTTTAGTTTTGCATTCTTTCTCGCTTTCCACTTTACACCATAACCCAGTGCAAATGACATGCTGAAAAAACACACATAGAGCTAAGCATAAAATCAGTCTTATGCAAAACAACTTTCTGCATCTAATCCACTGATTTTGTCATGAAGTTACACACTTCATTATCCTGAAGTATGTTTAAAGACAGGTAAAGCACACAGAAAAATCACAATGTGCAAACCGCGCTTAGGCTTTCATTGATTATTGAGACATGGAAGAAGTCAAGCTGGTGTGTCAACAGGGAGGGGAAGAACTCTAGAAGTCTCACCTCAGAGGATCAGAGCCCTTGTGTACCGCAGATCTGACAAAACTCATTGGAAGAGTTTTGCCCCATGCCAGGAAGCTCCCACTGCACAGATACCCTTCCCCTGACTGGAGGGAGTGGAATATTGATCTTGCTCCTGGTTACTAGCACACAATTCAGGAGCTTGGCAAAAGTAAGCAGGTGCAGGGGACATACCAATTTTTAAACACTTGAAACCTTCTGGGCATTATTAAAAAAAAGGTTTTCATATTTTTACTGCTTTTATTTATTCCTCATTCATTTGATGTGAAAAGGAGAAAAGCAGGTCACTAGAAATAAAATGCAAGGTTTTAAGATGAGTGCACTTATACGTATGAACCACTAGTGATGTTTTCTGCGGCTATGAAGAATTTTCTTCTCTAGAGGTTTAGAGGAAAGAGAAAAGATAGGAACAGGTCAACAGGCTGCATTTAAACTAAAAAGATAAATAAACAATAAAAAAGCTAGAAATAAAACTGGTGCTGATAAGCATAATGCACTAACACCCAACCCCTCCACAGGACATACACAGAAGTGAAGTTAGTGTTTTGCAATGCCTCCCATATGTTCCCTGAATCTGTGGGCAATCCAGTTTCTTCCAGGAACTATTATTCAGTTTCTTCCAGAAACAGTTATTTAAACTGAAAAAGAGCTCAGCAGTGCAAGGATGGACTCACAGATGAGAATGAACAAATAAGAAAAACATATCCAAAAAAAATTCAAATGTTATTTTCACATTGTACATGCAGCCTTGTCAGTCAAATGTTCACCTCACAGCTGTTAAAACTCAGCTTTAATTCTACCTTTGTACTTGAAACATAGCAAGCACACAATTGTTCCCTGAAGAAAAGAGACAACAGATCTGTTTCATAAGTTAGAGAGATTTTCCTAACGTCCTATCTTGTGCAATCCAGAAAATCTTTTTCTAGAAACTATTAAGCTTCTTTAAAACTTCCATACGCCCCTTGTTCAAACCATCCAAATGACTGCTGCTACCTGCTGCTATTCTAGTGATATAATCCTCATCTCTCTGAAAACAGCTCGAAAATGAATCAAACCAGATGCCCAAAAAGAAGTGGCAAAGTAAGATGACGAATCAGGTTGAAATAATTTTGTTGGGCGAAAGAAGGTGAAGAGGGTAGATGAGAGGAGTCTGCAGTGAGATGGAAAGAAAAGCTGCTTATTCCATCCACCCTAAGCATCAGAACCAGATAGTCTTATCTGCTTCAAAAGAAAGCATAGCCTTGAAGTATGTTGGCTCATGCATTTCTCAAAATTTCCCTGGCAGCTTTCCCCAATTCCCTCTCAAAAGCCCCACTTTGTTCCCCTCCCTGCTTCGCTCCCCCTTACCTGGAAAGCCTGGAAGTGAGGGGACTGGCTGGGGCTGGGTCATGGCCTAAATGTTATTGCATATGTAACACGATTCCCCCAAATATGTGTGGTTACCCCAAAGAGGGACAAGAAGGACCCCAAGAGAGAGAAATGAAAGGTAAAAATCAGTTGGTTTTCAGAACCCAGTGCTGCCAGGAGACGTGCTCCTTCTGACAGAAATGATTTGTTAATATTAGTAAAACTAGTAAGAATCTCTGGTAGCTTACATTATGCATGAGAAATGTGTGCTAAATCTTATGCTACCTTTAAAAATATCTGAACTGCACAGGAAACGTAATTCAGTAACAGACTGAGCCTGAACTAGAGAGCAGGACAGTTTCAGTGCAAGTCTTGTAAATGAAACTGTCTGTAATATCTACTTTTTTTTCTTTTTTGTGTTTGTTCTTTGAAAGAGGAAAACCAAAGAATGTGGAGGGCCAAAGCATTGAAAAGGAACAAGATTTCTAATTGATTTTGTAACAGTTTTATTCTTTTAAGGAGGTTGAACTGATAAAACAACATTTAGTCCATGCAAATCCTAAAATATCTATCCTATGGCTGAGATCTATGTGAATATAATAATGTAATATAATAAAAAATAATACCATATAACACATAAACATAAATATGTTTATGCAAACATTTTTCAATATTAAAGTGTAACTTCTATTCTTGTTCAGAAGAATTCATAGAAGAAGCAGAAATTATCTTTCTAAAATTGTCTTTAATCACACATTTTAATGTATAACTTCAGAGCCAAGAACTAAAAGTTAGGAACAAGACTTCTGGGACAGTTTCAGAGGACTATGCAGGTATGACAGGCTATGCAATGCTCTACCATGACCATGTGCTTCAGTGACAACTGCAAAATGACAGAATATATTTTTGGCACAATTTACCATCATTGAAAGATATATGTTTATTTAATATTTGTAATTCAAACAGAATTAATTTACATACTTGAATCTTCATTCTAGACTACATTTTAAAAAAACATTCAGATTTTCAAAAAATAAACAGAACATTTCCCTTATGTCATCACATTTTAAAGCAAGTTTTAGCATTGTTTGTTTCTTTTTAATAAAATACTTTCATGTTCATTTGCATAGCATTGCAGAAGGCCTGATAACAAACCTATGGTTCCTTACAAACTGAAAAAAAAAATCTTCCAGTCTTAAGATTTGGAGACAGATTTGCAGGATTTGGGTGCCTAAATACACAGAGACACTTGAAATATGTAAAGTCTAACAAATCAAGATACTTAATGAAGTATCTGCTGAAGTGCTTTGTATGCATTTGCATATTTTTGCAAATACTTCTACACCATCTCTTTATAAACCATAAACCTAACTCCTCCAGATAGATATATCTTTCAGCTCACTTTCCCTTCACTATTTTTTCTAATAAGAATCTGATACTACTATTCATTCATTTTGAGATTCCCCAAACCCAAACCCAAGAAGTAGAATTACTAAAACTGGAGGATGAATAATTTTTTTTCTGTACTTTGCATTTCCTTCAAATGCCAAATAGATTCCTTAGTCTTCAGGTGCTTCTGCTGCAGAAATAAGGGATCTAGAAATTACTGTTAACTTTTATCTTTTGACATTTGGGGAATTCTGGCATTTTGGAGAAATCATGATGAGCTTCTCAGCATTTTCACCAAAAATCCCCAATGCTGAAAAGTAAACAAGAACTGAAGAGAAAACTAACAGAAATCTGGGGCCCAGTAACAGTACTACAGTTAGAGCTGTAACTTCTAAAATAGAAATTTACTCCTTCATGGGGAAGAAGTTTAATTCACTCAGAATCCGGATGGTTAAGTTCATGAAGTTTACTAGGAATCTGTCCTAATCATAGTTACAGCTAATTAGACTAACCAAGGGAAATAAAAATTATTGGGAATGATAAAATTATACTGATGATATTAGACTATTCACAACCTTTGAAATATTTTGCTGTGTGCATATTGGAAAACAAAATGTTGCCAGGCACACTTTCTTTTGTAAGAATGAGTTTATCAATCACAAGCATTTAAAAGCAAAAGCTATTAAAATATCTCATGACAGCCAAGAGCGTAATGCAGAAACAGCAGAGCTCAGGCCAACTTTTTCAAGAGCTTTTTATGTGTGTGTGTGTTTGTTTGAACTGAAAGAGTGAGGGAGATTTATGTGCCTGACAGAGATGCTATTTCAATCAAAAAGCATCTAGAAAGAAGGTGTGGGCTGACAGCAGGGAAAAGAAACAAAAATAGGCAGGTCAGAACTAGATTAGTGCAAAGTCAAGATTGTTTAAAGTCTGGTGATGATGAGGACAGATAATGTGCCATGGTTATAATATTTCCATTGTGATCTTTCCCTTAAATGCCTTAAAATCATGATGAAATATAACCAGTCTCCTACTTCTTTGCTAAGATCACAGCTGTGTTATGACAGGAAGTGTTCTAATGGAACTGACCAGATAGCACTCACATCCTGGACTTTAATCTTAAAAGCCAATATTTAAGAGTTCAACAGTTATATTCCCTTGGCAAGTTCTACAATCTCATTTAATCACCAGATACTACTTCTGGGCCACGATCTGGCTATCTGTTATGTGAAACAATGGTAGAGTCTAATTGATGCATGTGTGAGACATCATGGGCATAAAAGCAAACTTGGCTCCCATACAAGGTAAGAACAGTGCCATGGAATAAATCTTGCACTCTGAGATACACTCACACTTTTCTTCTCAGGGTCTATAAATTTTGCTTAGGGTATAAAAAAAGAGTCTTATAAATAAAGGCAAGACTCCATTCATGAAAGAGCAGTGCGGGGGAGCTCACTAAGGAAAATATGAGAGTATGTCCTTTTAGTCCTTTGCTTTAGCCATTATACCATAAAAAGGATTCCTGATAGGGGGAATCATTGGTATTTGTAAAGTACAGTCTAAAGACCAAATTTTGGGGAGGAAGGGTAAATTTTGCTTCAAGACAGAAGAATGCAGACTTATAGATTTGACTTATAGATCATCAGTGTGACTTACAGATTTTGGCAAGGGTGCCTCTCTCGCTGAGCCTTCTCAGATTTTCTGGAGTCTGCCCTCACTGCCTATTGCATGTTTTTATGTAATTTCTGATATAAATAACACAGCCCCATAGTACTTCAAAATGAGCTACCATCATTTTATTTGTATTTATGATTTCTATTTCAGGGATCTCCATTTTACAAAGCACCCTTGTCCTCTAGCATTTTTCCAAAACCGTACTTTTTCATACTGTTAAGACCATTGGCTTATGAAATAACAAAATTGACCTGTTAAAAAAGAAGGACAATTAAATTGCAGTCTGTCAGAAAGATGAAAAGACCAGGACTCTGCTTGGGCTTGCAGGAGCTCTGCTGGAATGCACTGTGGATTACCACAATTCTCCTTGAGAATTAGCATGGAGACAGCAAGCAAAAGCTTAGACATGGAGGTTCAATACGCAAGGCATATGGGTTATGCCAGAGCAGAACGAACAGGGGAAATCAGCTCCCAGATCCATTAATTGCAAATATTCACAGAATCACAGAATGGTTAAGGTTGGAAGGGACCTCTAGAGATCACCTAGTCCAACCCTCCTGCTCCAGCAGGGACACCCAGAGCACATGGCACAGGGTGGCATCCAGGTGGGCTTGGAAGATCTCCAGGGAAGGAGACTCCACAGCCTCTCTGGGCAGCCTGTTCCAGGGCTCTGGCACCCTCACAGGAAAGAAGTTCTTCCTCATATGGAGATGGAACTGCCTGTGTTTCAACTTGCACCTGTTACCCCTTGTCCTGTCTGTCACTGGCCACCACAGAGAAGAGTTTGGCCCCATCCTCCCTACATTCACCCCTCAGTTACTTGTACATGTTGATGAGATTCCCTCTCAATCTTCTCCAGACTAAACAGACCCGGTTCACTTAGTCTTTCCTCATAAGATAGATGCTCCAGTTCCTTAATCATCTTTGTGGTCCTATGCTGGACCCTCTCTAGAAGCTCCATTCCCCTCTTGTACTCGGGAGCCCAGTACTTCACACAGTTCTTCACACTGAGTGACATTACACAATTTTATCTTCTAACTCTAAATAAAAACATTTCTAAACATATCAGTGATATGATACTACACGGCATGAGGCAGTATCTTTGGAAATCCAGAACATGGATTTACAAGACAAATAAATGAAAAGTGTTCATGGTGACTTTGGAAAGGGCAGGGTAAATTTCTAGTTACAAAGGCA